ATAGCTGTTTTTCTTAAAAGTATGTTAGATATGTTAACATATAATTGGTTTATAACTGTTATTTAAAATAAATTTATAAATGATTTTCCAGATAAGAAATATTAAAATTTTTCTTAGTTTTAGTTTCTAACATATTAAATATTGATAGGTATGTTATACAAATAAAAGCTTTTTGCAGTTCTCCATTATTTTTAAGAATGTATAGGAGTCCAGAGGCTAAACCGTTTAAGAATCACTGCCGAGAACAATGCCTGGCATGCAAATTAAATATAATATTGTAGCATTTTATCTAGTAGTTAATAGTTATAATGCATGCATAAAATGTATTTAAATTTACAGATATTAACACCACAATACGCATGTCTGTTACTTTTTTCCACGGTAAAGGAAGGAGTCCTACTTCAAAATTGGAATCAGTGGGTCTTCAGGCAAAAATGAGATCCAGTGGAGTGGAAAATTTATGAAGGGTTCACCAAAGTATATTAAGGGAACATAAAATGTAACTTGGATGAATTGAGCTAGTATTTTCTAACTTAAAAATATATATACGCTTCTTTGGTTCAAATCCACCTCCTTTTCTCAGCAAAACTTTAAAAACTTTTAAACCTCTGTGGCTACCAACTCCATTTTCTTATTCTCCATTTCTCCTGTACCCATTCCTTTGGTTGCGCCATGGTCAAGATCACCAGTGACCCACCTTGTGTTGTCAAGTCACGTATCTGTTTGTACTTTCCAGAATTCTCCGCAGTTAAAGCAACTGACCCCTCCTTCTTGAAACCCTCTATTGGCTTTTGTGACACCACACTCTTCTGATTTTGCTCCTGCTTGCCTGGCTTCTTTGGTTTCTCTTCTTTGTCTTGACTTCTAAATGTTAGAATGCTCTCAAGTTTCTGTCCTGGGGCCTTTTTCCTTCTCTGCCTACATATTTTCTCCAATGAACAGAAGCCAGCTGTCTCTTCTGTCTTCCTTGAGTGATGAAGACTGTCCTTGAGTTACATCTTTCTGCCAGTAGCACTCAACTCTTTAACTTCAGCTTCAATCTCCCTTTAGAAAAAAGATCAGTACAGCTGACTTCCTACTTGAGATCTGTACATCGGTGTCCAGTAGGCATCTCAAACTCAACCTGGCTCGAACAAACTCTGATTCTCCCACTGCAACAACTACTCCCCCTTCTGACTTCTCTGTTCCAATTAAATGGTGCCACGGTCAACCGGGAGTTCAAGGCAAATTCCAATGGCAAGCCTTTTTCTTTTCTTTAAAAAGAAAAAGTTTACTTGACTCTGTCGGATGCAGAATGTGGAATCTAGTTTCCTGACCAGTGATCGAACCTGGGCCCCTGCATTGGGAGTGTGGAGTCGTAGTCACTGGACCACCAGGGAAGTCCCAAGCCCTTTTTAATTTATTTAGAACTTTGTCTTTCTCTCAGGAAGACAAAACAAAACACTATCTTCCAAAGACTTTTGATGTTGTAATCTTAAGTTAAAGAGGTAAAAGAATAATATTTGGTCTTATTTTCTCCACTTATTTTCATGAAATGAGAATACATTTTTCCTGCAATAGCGCAGCTGCTCTGAAAATTTTCCCTTTTCACCTGCATATGTAAAATTTATACATCTCTATTCATATTGAATAGCCACATTTTCAAGGTGACAGGTTAATGCTAAGATCATTCTGAATGCAGAATATTTATAGGAGTAATAAGGTTTAATGCTTCTATGATATGAAACTCAAATTGGCATCAGGTATCTGGAATTAAAAGTGTGAACTGTTAAAAATCTGTGTGACTTTGGAGGGTGATCTGTGTCTGCCTTACTGATGAAAAGAGGGAGAAAGACAAAAAAGAGAAAGATTATAATTTAGTACACTGAAATGATAAGATAAGCAAATACATTCTGAGATAAAACTCATCATGGACTTTACTTTTGAGCTGGTAGTGGCCCAGATGGACAGACAGGGATGAGGCTAGCATCTCCTTATTATATCTGAATGAGTTTTCTTCCTTCTTTTGATGATGAGGTAGCAAATTTCTGACATCTTTAGCTTTCTTTAACTAATGTATGGCATTTAATATATTTTACCAAACTCTTGTTGAGGGGAAAACAGTGTGAAGCAAACTGAAGAGAAGATGAGGCATTCTGAAACTCTTAAGTCTTATACACAATGAAACACTGGCATTCAAGCCATTTTCTGGTCCTTATTTTCCTTATATTTGTATCAGATTGAAGATGATCTAATTCCAATGAAATTCTGAATTGCTGAGAATGAATGAATACAGAGGTAAAACAACATATTAAATCTCATGTATTTTTTGACTAAAATATTAATGCTGCCTTGATTGACAGGAGAATGCTGAAATACCCCAATTACCAAAGTTTGAAAGGACTCTAGATTCTGGTTATTAAAGTTTGATTCTGAAAACACATCATTTATCTTTGGAAAGGAAGACTTACACATTTTGTAGAAAATGTCAGTTTTCATGATTTTACCCTCTTAAGCAAGCATCTAAATTCTGCCTTCACTGCTGTATAAGATGAGGCTCTTGGGAAACATAAATGCCTGGTTAGAAATGGTAAGAAGTTCCAGGTTTTCTTTCACATGCAGTTAAACAAAAAGTTCCGTATTGTCACGGAGGATAAGAAGATAAAAAGTCAGATAAAGATAGAGTTTACTTTATTAGGTTGTATGTTTCCTTTTGCCTCATAGTTTGATTCATTTTCACTACCTCCTTTCTTTAATTTGCTGGTTTCAGAATGTGACTAGGTTTAGTTTATGACGATGAGGTTTATAAATGTAGAGGTGCAGTTTAAGTTTTGCTTGCACGAGAGGTTCTGTTTCCTATGTGGTCAATATGAAATGTAAACTCGGTGGTCAGAGCATCATGCTGTTTTCAGACTAAATGGGAAGAGCTAAGGAGCATTTCTGGTAAAGATATTGTTCAAAAAAAAAACACTAAAATTGAAAATTAGATTAAAACTAATTAAAATGGGTATTAAAGCCAGAAAATTTGAAAGTCTCTCTCCATTGCGAATTGTACCTAACTTTAGATAGTATTTCAAAAGGTTGTATTACATATTTCTAATAAGAAAGTTAAGGTGACATCCAATACTTTCTTATTCATTTTATTTAATTCAGCTGAATTCTTACATTCAGATGAGGCTGTTAGTACTGATATGGCTTTGAAGTTATGGAACCTGAAACTTGAACTCACTGAATCAGGAATCAAGATGGTGCCGAAGCTAAAGCTAGGAGTGAGATCCTGCAGTTCAGTTGTTTTGTTTCTTTTAGATAGTTTTGTTTTTCTCTTTACAAAAGTTCTACAAAAGTTCTAACATGCACACAGCCAGATATTCTGAAAAATAAGAAAGTGTACAAAGGTCACTTTCCTACCACCTGGAAGTAATCACTGTTTGCATTTTAGTGAGTGCTACATATTTTTCTTAGTATGAATGCACACTGACATTATACATGTGTACATATATACATGCATATATATACTCACATACATATATATGTGAAAGTGTGTATGTATGTGTACATCCAGTATGCTTAGTCATATTTTCACCAAACAATATTTTACAGACATCTGTTGTAGACAGACGTATGTATATATACTTTTCATCTCATTCCATTTATGATTATACTTTTTCCCAGTATTCTGTAGTTTGCATGTACCGTAATATATTAAATGATCCCCTTAATGGTGAGCTTTTAAGTTGTTTCCCCTGTTTTTGCTTCTGTAATCAATACATTGAAACCCCTTGTCTGAAAATTTTCTTAGGATAAATTCCAAGAAATAGAATTGCTGGGTTAAAGGAAATGCCCACTTCAAAATCTGAGATTTATACTAAGTTGTCCTCAGAAGTGTTGTGTCATTTTGTATTGTTATTAGCCATGTCTTGAAGGTGATGATTTTGAAATATTATGAACAATCCTGTGTTTTGTTAATCTTTTAAATCTTTGTAAATGTGGGCTTCCCTGGTGGCTCAGATAGTAAAGAGTCTGCCTTCAATGCGGGAGACTTGAGGTTGATCCCTGGGTAGGAAAGATCCCCTGGAGAAGGGAATGGTAACACACTCCGGTATTCTTGCCTGGAAAATTCCATAGACAGAGGAGCCTTGCACGCTACAGACATTCTTACATTAATTTTCATTTGTGTGATGGAGTATCTCCAGATTCCTTCCAGCTTCTGTGTGCCCTGACTTGGCAGGTAGTGGCTGGAGCTCTTAGGACAGATAAAGGAAGAAATGTTCTCGCCTGGTCTCTAGGTAGTTAATGGACCTTGTTTTGAGGACCCAGACCAGACTTGCTGGATGGAAAGTGATTTTTTTCCTTCTAAACTTTTTTAAGGCCCAGTATAAATAACTCTTTTTTTTTTTCCTTTGTAAAAATAATAGCTTATTTCATCATGGGCTTAATGAACACCAGGAAGAGTCTAGATCTTTGAAATACTAATGAACTTAGTTGCCTACCATAGGGCTTTAGAGAGCTCTGAACCTGATCCCAGAAATACAAAAACTTGAGGCAGGCAGGAGAGGATGGGAAATTCTTCCATTCCTTCTTGAAAGTCGGTTTTTCTTTCTCCCTTCCTTCCTCACTCCCTCAATCTCTCTCACTTCTAAAGGGATCCCTTTAGAATTTCTGGCCCTTTTGTTTTTATTAGAAGTCCCTTTTTGGCTAAATTTTGGTCCTTTGTGCTTCATAAGACTTAGATGTTTAGGCAGCATTTGATTTTAAGTATTTTACTGTAGAACTTTGAGATCTTGGTAAATATGTTTAATTCATATCCACATGATCACTTTTGGCCCTGTCCCAACCTATAAAGGAAATCTAATCCCCAGGTAGGAGAAATAATGCAAAGGTTTCTGTCTTTTATTGATACAACAAAACTATTACATTTGATAGTTACTGGATTCTTATAAAAAATAATTGATTCGGATTAGCACTCAGTTACTTGATTAACCCCATGTTGTCTTCATAATATCTTTTCTTGTTTCCTGCAGGCATTCTTGCACCGGATGAACCAGTGTGCAGCATCAAAACTTGACAAAAATGTAACAGAAGAAACTGTGAAGGTGAGGAGGTGCAGCTGGCCCTTGACCCCAGCACATGGTCGCCTCAGATAAAATGTCACCCGTGGGATGTTACCTCAGGGCTTGTCCACGTCTCTCCAATTCCAGTATAAGTTGTTTTTTAAGTCTTTATTGAATTTGTTACAATATCATTTCTGGTTTATGTTGTGTTTTTTTGGCCACTAAGCATGTGAGATCTTAGCTCCCTGACCAGGAATTGAACCCTCACCCCCTACATTGAAAGGCAAGGAGTTAACCAGTGGATTGCCAGGGAGTTCAGTTCAGTCATGTTTGGCTCTTTGCGACCCCATGGACTGCAGCACGCCAGGCTTCCCTGTCCATCACCAACTCCTGGACCTTACTCAAACTCATGTCCATTGAGTCAGTGAAGCCATCCAACCATTTCATCCTCTGTCTTCCCCTTCTCCTCCTGCCTTCAATCTTTCCCAGCATCAGAGTCTTTTCTAATGAGTCAGTTCTTCGCATGAGGTGGCCAAAGTATTGGAGTTTCAGCTTCAGCATCAGTCCTTCCAATGAACACCCAGGACTGATCTCTAGGATGGACTGGTTGGATCTCCTTGCAGTCCAGGGGACTCTCAAGAATCTTCTCCAACACCATAGTTCAAAAGCATCAATTCTTCAGTGCTCAACTTTCTTTATGGTCCAACTGTCACATCCATACATGACTACAGGAAAAACCGTAGCTTTGACTAGATGAACTTTGCTGGCAAAGTAACGTCTCAATGAAACTATGAGCCATGCTGTATTAGGGCCACCTAAGACGGACAGGTCATGGTAGAGAGTTCTGACAAAACGTGGTCCACTGAAGAAGGGAATGGCAAACCACTTCAGTATTCTTGCCTTGAGAACCCCATGAACAGTGTGAAAAGGCAAAAAATAGGAAAATGAAAGATGAACTCCCCAGGTTGTTAGGTGCCCAATATGCTACATATTGGGAACAGTGGAGAAATAACTCCAGAAAGAATGAAGAGATGGAGCCAAAGCAAAAACAACACCCAGTTGTGTAACTGACTGGTGATGGAAATAAAATCCGATGCTGTAAAGAACAATGTTGCTTAGGAGCCTGGAATGTTAGGTCCAAGGTAAATTAGAAGTGGTCAAACAGGAGATGGCAAGAGTGAATGTCAACATTCTAGGAATCAGTAAACTAAAATGGACAGGAAGGGGTGAATTTAGCTCAAATGACCGTTATATCTACTACTGTGGGCAGAAATCCCTTAGAAGAAATGGAGTAGCCCTCATAGTCAATAAAAGAGTCCAAAATACAGAACTTGGATGCAGTCTCAAAAATGACAGAATGATTTCTGTTTGTTTCCAAGGCAAACCATTCAATATCACAGTAATCCAAGTCTATGCCCTGACCAATAATGCTTAAGAAGCTGAAGTTGAATGGTTCTATGAAGACCCACAAGACCTTCTAGCACTAACACCCAAAAAAGATGTCGTCTTCATTATAGGGGACTGGAATACAAAAGTAGAAAGTCAAGATACCTAGAGTAAAAGGCAAATTTGGCCTTGGAGTACAAAATGAAGCAGGGCAAAGGCTAATAGAGTTTTGCCAAGAGAACTCACTGCTCATAGCAAACATCTTCTTCCAACAACATAAGAGAAGACTCTGCACATGGACATCACCAGATGGTCAATACCAAAATCAAATTGATTATATTCTTTGCAGCCAAAGATGGAGAAGCTCTATATATTCAGCAAAAACAAGACCAGAGCTGACTGTGGCTCAGATCATGAACTCCTTATTGCCAAATTCAGGCTTAAATTGAAGAAAATAGGGATAACCACTAGACCTTTCAGGTATGACCTAAATCAAATCCCTAATGATTATACAGTGGAAATGACAAACAGTTCAAGGGATTAGATCTGATAGACAGAGTGCCTGAAGAACTATGGACGGAGATTTGTGACATTGTACAGAAGGCAGTGATCAAGACCATCCCCAAGAAGAAGAAATGCAAAAAGGCAAAGTGGTTGTCTGAGGAGGCCTTACAAATAGCTGAGAGAAGAAGAGACGCTAAAGGCAAAGGAGAAAAGGAAAGATATATGCATTTGAATGAAGAGTTCCAAAGAATAGCAAGGAGCGGAATGCCAGAGAAGTATAAGTATAATGCCACAGAATAAGTTCTGTGCCAGGCACCTGTGTGGATGACAGTGAAGAAAATGGGAAAATAGGATTTGGGAAAAGAAATGGAGGGTTATGAGGATGGTGTAGAAGATGGGGAATTTTTTTTTTTTTTTGCCAAGACCTTGGAAACCTTTGAAAGGAAGAAGAAAAATAACCTCAAGTCCAAAAACTTTCCAGTCTCTGAGGGGGAGGGAGCTGAACCGTGTGTGAGAGGATTACTGGAGGGGCCTGGAAGGCAGGATGTGGGCCATTGTGACTTCCAGGCTCTGACTCCTGAAGAGCAAATGATTTGGATGGTCCATTGGTGCAGAAAATGTCTGCTCAATACCTTCAGCTCACTATGAGTATTTCCTTTAAACCATAGGGAAGGAAAATTGTGAAGAGTTTGGGGAAGAAAGAGGGGGGAAGATAGTAAATGAGAATCATGCTATAGTTGTTACTACTCATTTAAACTGTACAAGTAATCATTGATATTTATTTTGGATCCTAACTTGCTCTGTTATTTTACTGAAAGTAAAAAATCCCCACGAATTTTAAAGGCATTTCTGTTTCCCATTGGACTGAGTACTAACTTACCTGTTCTCCTTACCATGGAGTATTTTATTAATAGTTTGGGTGCTTTTGGTTGCAAGCAAAAGATTCCTGTTACTCACAGGAACATGACGATACTTTGACTCTCATAGCAAGAACTTCTATGGGCAGAGAAGCCCTTCCTCGAAAGCCAGCCAGCAAGTCTGGTTTTCTACCTGCCGCCCACTGTCATTTGTGGGATGGGACTGTCATGCTTGGATTTAGTCACTTGGGATTGTCCTGAGAACCTGGATCAGGTTTTCGGTGGTTCCCAGAATTGTGTGGGAGGGGAGCAGACGTCCAGACAGAATGGGTGCTCTGCCAGCCGGGTGGGTGGGAAAGGGCAGCTCTCCACCAGTGTTCTCAACATGGGGAGAAAATACTATATTCCCATAGGATTTTTTTTCCAACTTGCCTCACTATTGCATTTACACATTTATTTACAGATGCTGTTCTCAAACATTGAGGATATCCTTGCAGTGCACAAAGAATTCTTAAAGGTCGTGGAAGAGTGCTTGCATCCAGAACCTAATGCTCAGCAAGAAGTGGGAACCTGCTTTCTTCACTTTGTAGGATCAATTTCTGTTTATTTTTAAAGCTTTCCCCCCTAGCATTTAAGGTTTCCCTTTTGGCAGAGTAGTATGTGGGAATTCAGCATTAGAAGTGAAATCTGACACCAAGAAAAAGTTTGGGGTCTTTTAAGGCCAGTGAAATCTTCCACTTAGAGCCAGAAAAGGGGAGGGGGCCTCGCATCATCCATTTTTATTCAGTGAAGAATAAACAGGCTTTTCTTTTTTCCCAACGAGTTAGTTTTTCGCATCCGCTGTAGCTTTGAATTCTAATGAATATTCAGGCTGTTCATAATGAATGGATTTTTATGTTTCTCTCAAACATGGAGCATTTCTCTTTTGAGGCAGAAAATCCTCACTCTTATAATGGTGCAATGAGCCTTGTATTAGTCAAAACGTTCCCTTGTCCATTGACTTCTGACAAACCTGGAGGTAAACAGACCTGGTCCCTCAAGGTACACACATGCTTGCCTCTGAATTTTTCTGAGGCTTGTATGGAGCAGTGCAGAAGAACAAGCCAGTATTCAGTTATTTCAAATTATATGTCATGCCTGTATGATCGTTTTCACTTCTTTACAAATGATAGCTGAAATTATTTATGCCGTCAATTTGCAAGGTAAGAAGGAAGCCACCTGCATAGTGAAAATTGTTTTCAGAATTAAAGGGCATTCATACTGACAAAAGAAAATAGTGCTTCTATTGCTATCATTCTGCTGTTGCTAATTTTCAGAATACCCGTCGGAATCCATTTATTTATCAACATGCTATATGATTAGTGTTCTGTTTAAAAATTGTGTATGAGTATTTTATCATCGAAATCCATGTTCCTTTATTTTTGATTTCTAGTTAGTCTTTTATAAAGTAATGATGTGTAGTTTCTAGATCTATATATGTAGTGAGCAGACTCTGTACATGTTATTTTAAGTATCAGAAAATATTCCGTAAAAATAATTCTATGAAAGAGAGAGACTCCTTGAGTATAGGGAGATGACACTTTCCTTGGGTACAGCTCTTAAGTCACGTGTGTTTGTGTCCACTTAATCCAGACTGTTCCCCTTCATGAAAGAATGCAGATCCCCTGCCAGCAGGAGTGGTTGCTGGCTTACTGAGTCATGGGTTGCACATGGGAATCTTGCTCCCTGACATCCATTTCCTCAGTAACACACTATGAATCTGTCAGCCACAAATTTAGCTAAACTATTTCTGAAGTTTGTTTTCTTCTGGTTCATACCATCTCTTGAAATAAAGTCATTCAATCAATTTTCTACTGGCTGTATAAAATAGCACTCAGTGTTTCTAAATGCATATCTTAGAAATTTCAGAGGACACACTTCTCTTCTACTCTTTGATCACTACATTTTCTGTGTTTTCCTCTTTTATTTGGACCGCTTTGATAGATATTAATCATTGTCACTTGTAGAAAACCTTACAGATGGAAGAGAGCTTAGAGATCAGGGTGGTGTGACATTTCTTCTTGTAGGAAAGTATCCTTTCTGTAGCTCCTGAAGATTGTTCATCTTGCTTTTACTTTATCACTTTTAGTGATAACTCTAATTGTTGGAAAAATCATTATATTAATCCAGAATCTACCTGTCACTGCCCATCATGGCCTTTGCAGTTTGCACCAGTGGTCCTAGTTTTGTGTTTCGGAGCTACAAAGATTTGTAAATCCTTTGTAATAAATATGACAGATATTTGAAAGTAGCTACACTTCCTTACTTTTGTATACAAACAAGTATCTCTCTCTGAGATGACCTTTCAGGTGTAACATCTTCAAAGTCTGTCATTATCTTAGTTGCTTGTTGCTAAATATTGTCTACTTTGTCAGTGCCCCTTTTAAACTGTCCAGATTGGTGCATGGGACCCGCAGGGCACTATGTCCTATTCCTCTATCATCTGACACATGCTTTTCCTTCCACCAAAATACATTCTTCCCTCTCCCTGATCTTGCTTGGCTATGATAGCTTTTCTAAAGCTATAACTGAACCCTCCCAGTAAAGCTAAATGCTCTCTTGTCTGTAATCTGCCACCATTTGGTTCATTTACCTTTTATTGTGTACATCATATTGGATTGTAATGAATATAAGTCTGTCCCCTTCCTAGATCCATCCCCTTCATGGATCAGAAAAAATAAACATATTCCTATATACACACAGTATGTCTCTTGAAATGTAGTAAACACTTAATAAAGTTTGTTCATAAATATCACCCTTCATGTTTCAAAATGGCTAATAAAATGACTAATGTATTCTTGAATTTACAGAAAGACAAGTTTCGCATCTATGATGAATATTGTAGTAATCATGAGAAGGCACAGAAATTGCTCTTTGAACTTAACAAAATAAGAACAATCCGGACATTTCTTTTGGTAAGTATGTATTTATGTGTCACCATATGCTGTTATTTGTTGATAGGCCCACTGAGAGCCAAGGAAGAGCATCAAGGTAGTGTTAGAACTGCTTGTGTGACATCTGTTTTTAACATATCCTGCTAGGAAGCTAGAGAGTCCTGTGAGAAATGTAAGAAGTGAGACTGTAAATCAGCAGTACTTCAGTAAATGTATATAGTAATAAGTTGAGTTGGCTGAGAAGTTTATTCAGTGTTTTCTGTTATATCATATGGAAAAACCTGAATGAACTTTTTGGCCAATCTGATATATACCCTTAAAATCACACACACACACACACAAATGAAATGAATGAATGAAATGAAAAGAAGTGAGTTGGGAGAGGCTTGTTCATGGAGAAACACTGCCATGCCCTCTCCTGGTTGATGAGTTACGAGACCACAGATTCTTAGTGAGAGAAGACATTTATGCCAGAGTTTACCATTGCTTTTATATCCCTCCAGTCTCTAGAGTTTCATTTACTGCTGTTTAGAGAGCTCTAAGTAGGGCAGTGACAGGAAGGAAACACTTGGTGGGGATGGTAGAAAAGAATTTTCAAGACTGACCTTTCTCCTACTTATATTCTTTATTCACTGTTCAAAATAAGAGAAAAATCTGTGGTTAATTTCTTTAGAATAGTACAAATAAATGCACATTTTGGCAGTTACTTAAACATCATAATTGCCAGTGAAAACCTCACTGTAAATAGAATTCAGCGATATTTAGCAAGCTGTGGAGTGGAGTGGTCATCTCCACCATCGGGTTTTAGAGCCTGGATCAGCTCATTTAAAATGAAAAATAAAATGCCTGTTTACAGCTCATTTCCACTCCCACTTTTGGCTCCAGGCAATCGCCGGTTTGCTCTCTATCTCTCTAGGTTTGCCTTTTCTGGAGATTTCATATAAATGGAATACAATACAATACAGTCTTTTAATGTCTGACTTCTTTTGCTTACTAAAATGATTTTGAGGTTCATCTTTGTTACAGCATGTATCCATATTCCATTCATTGTTATTGCTGAATAATATTCCATTGTGTTTTGTTTATCCATTTGCCAGTTTATGAATAATGGGTCAACAATTGACTGTGATAATGGTGGGCCTTGAAGATCCTTGAAGTCATTTCGGAGAGAAAGATTTCTTAGTAAGGTCAGGATATGTCCAGTTTGGGCAGATCTAAAGAATACTATTATGAATATTCATGTACAAGTCTCTGTGTGGATATACATTTTCATTCTCTTGGGTAAATACTTAGAGTAGAATTGCTGAAACAGAGTGAATTTATGTTCAGGTCTTTTCTTTTTTTTTTATATAATATCTCTAGGGAATACTATATGGATCTTAACTGAGGAAGTCTTATTTCCCTGAGGCTTGTTATTATTTTTTTGTTTATTCTGTTTTTAGTAACTTTCCTGGATTTAATTTGAGAATCTGTGTCTTTTGTATATGCAGCTGCTGCCTCCGTCTTCACTCAGTTTTTGTTTTATAATTTAGTCCTTCCTTTTAGGGGTCACTCCTCTGACTTTTTAACTTAGTAGTCAGTTGGGAATTTGTCAGAGGTAAACTGAACATCACAATCCATCTGATTTCTGAATCTGTATGGGAGTGTGGGGGGACACATTACCAGAGCAGGCAGTTTCCAACTCAGACCTGGGTTTTTCTTCTTAAGGGGCCATCATCTCATTTCTTCTCTGTGCGTGCACCGTCTGACATTGCCCCGAGCAGGACCGAAGTCTCAGGCTAGCATCATTGTGAGCGTTCCCATTTTTCTTAGGCAGTGTGCTGCACTGCCAACACTCCTGGGTGTGGGATTTTTGCCCTCTGCAGTCCCCTCTGATAGCTGGTTTGCAGGGCCAGTGCTGCTGTGACAGGGCCACCATGCAGGATGAGCTGAGGATGACCCTGATGGGGGTTGGGGTAAGAGGGGGAGGAAAGGGAAGAGTCCTGGCAAGAATGCCACCAAGTCCTCTGTTCTTACCTGAAGTTCAGCAGTTTTTCGTGAATAAACACTTCTCAATTTGTTGACTCTAGTTGATTTCCAGAGTCCTAAAATTGTTGGCTTCCCCCCACCCCCCACAATTTAGTTTAGTATAATAGTTGTTTGGAGCTTCCCTGGTTGCTCAGTGGCAAAAGAATCCTCCTGCAAGGCAGGAGACACAGGAGATGGTTTGATCCCTGGGTCGGGAGGATTCCCTTGGAGGAGGGCATGGCAACGCACTCCAATATTTTGCCTGGAGAAGCCCACGGACAGAGGGGCTTGGAGGGCTACAGTCCATGGGGTTGCAGAGAGTTGGACATGGCTGAAGCGACTTAGCATGCACACACACATCAGTTGTTTGGGGGAAGAGAATTTACTGATCTCTTCTCTCTGGCATGGCCAGAGGAGGTTCCTGCACTCTGGTGCAGGACTAATGGACTAATGGGGCTCCCTGTGAAGTCTCAGAACTCTGCCCCTCAGGGCACTCTGCTCTCAGCAGCGCTGGGCGTCCCCTACCTATCCCAAGTCCCTGATGCTGCTGGTAGGAAGACCCTGGCTTTGATAGTTCTTGCCTCGGCACTAAGTGGACACTAATTATCTGGATGACTTTAGGAAATTCATTACATCTCTGGTGTCATTTTCCTTACTCATTAAATAGGGATAATAGCAATCACCCTTGGAAAACATTAAGGGATTACAGATATGGGATGATGATGTTGTAATTTTGGGTACTTGCACATGCCATCACCTGAGTAAGTTTTTAGGATCGACAGACTCTCTGGGAGCTTATTTAGGAAATATATTTTCTGTCTACACAAGTAGAGAGGTGACTCTCACAAGTCAGTCTAATAAGGACTTACTGTACAGCTCAGGGAACTCTACTCAATTCTCTGTAATGACCTATATGGGAAAAGAATCTGAAAAAGTGGGTATGTGTATGTGTATAATGGATTCACTGTGCTATACAGCATTGTAAATCAGCTAGACTCCAATAAAAATTTAAAAAAGAAAGAAAATGACAACCAACCTCAGTTGTTATGAAGGGAGTTTGTAGTCTATGTAGTTCTAGTGGATAAGAAAATAAAAGCAAGTTGCTGCTACTTAATCACTCAGTTGTGTCTGACTCTCTGTGGCCCCATGGACTGTAGCCCACCAGGCTCCCCGTCCATGGAATTCTCCAGAAAAGAAGACTGGAGCACGTTGCCATTTCCTATTCCAGAGTGTCTTCCTGACCCAGAGATCGAACACATATCTCTTGTGTCTCCTTCATTGGCAAGTGGATTCTTTACCACCGAGCCACCTGGGAAGCCCCAGTAGCAAGTTCGACAGTCATGAGTTCTTAGGGTGCTTCAGCCCAGGGCTGGTACAGGGGGTGGCTGCGTGTATAAGGAGCATTCACTCAATACGGGAACACCAAAGCATCACTGGAAGCAGAATGGTATGTAGATATGTTATTAATACATAGGATTCCTCTGGGGATAGTACCATAACAGGTGGAAAGAGTTATTTTGATGACCTGATTGCAATAGGGGTTGAAACCCCCAAAGAACAGGTTTGAATGAGACCCTTATTTGCTGCTCTGTCTAAGGTTGCTGGTGAAGTGAAAGTCATGGAGCTGGTTTTGCCCAGTTGGTTGCACAGATTGGAGCTGAACTCGCTTGCTCAGGACAGTGGGGGCGGGGGCGAGGGTGGCATTGTTCTGTTTCCATCACTTTTCCTTTTATCTCCTTTCCTGCTCAGCACTCAGTCTCTCCTCTTGCTGAATGCAAGACTGTATTTTAAAAGATAGTGGTATACAGTTTATTAAATTATCAGTATGATGCTTGAGGGGCCCTTTTCTTCCTTTGTTGAATATTTATTATCTGCTTTCTCTGTGCCAGTCACCATGATGGTTGCTGCAGAAACAGGTTTTGACACCAGTTTCAAAACTATTTTTTAGGGAATGCCCTGGCAGTCCAGTGGTTAGGAATTGGCATTTTCATTGCCAGGGCCCAGGTTTAATCCCTGGTCAGGGAACTAAGATCTCATGAGTCTTGTGCCACAGTCAAAAAAAAGTTTGTAAAAAATTTTTAAAGCAATTGTTTCTAAATTTTTTAAAAAAATTTTTTATATTGTCACTGCTCCTTAAACACAGAATAAAGATGAAAAGCTTAAGAGGATCAAGTCTTTATCAGCATCGATTTTCTTGACCATCACTTTCAGTAAATGGAAGCTGCTTCCATTTCATTTCAGTGTGATTGCTGTCTTTGAGTTTTCTCCTTTCATCTTGCCTCTGTGGAGATCATATCTGACCTCCTTCTCTGAGACTGGCTGGCCAGTGTCATTGGTGAGGTATTACAGCTCAAAGTGGCTTAGAGATCATAGGATTAAAGCCAGCCTGTTTAACAGGGAGGAAAATTAGAACCTTGAAATTGGTCCAAGTTGCATCACTTGCCAGTGGCAGGGCATGGGGAGAACCCAGTCATCTTTAGGCCTGATCTCCTGTATCACCACACAACCTCTCCCTAAGCATGATGTGTATATGTACGTGTGCATCTGTTTATTCATCTGTCAGCACATCCATCCATCCACCCATCCATCTATCCACTCATCCATCTCTCCATTAGTTCATCCCTCCATCTCTGTTTCTTTTTCTCAGCACATCCATCCATCCACTCAACATCTCTCCATTAATTCATTCCTCCATCTTTCACTTTCTGCCTTCTTTCTCAGACTTAATACAATACTCAGGTGGATATATGTGAATTCATTTTCAAGATAAAGACTCAAAACACATTTTGGTCTCTAATCTGAAATGCAAAATTATTTCCTTTCTCTCCTGTAAATTTTATTTGTAACTAAATGTGCTTTTCTCGGGCTTCCGCAGTGGCCCAGTGGTAAAGAATCTGACTGCAGGGCAGGAGATGTGAGTTCAGTCCCTGGGTAGGGAAGATCCTCTGGAGGAGGTTATGACAACCCACTCCAGTATTCTTGCCTAAAGAATCCCATGGACAGAGGAGCCTGGTGTACTGCGGTCCATGGGGTCTCAAAGAGTCAGACATGACTGAACATGTACACACACATGCATTTCTCAGAGACAGAAGTTATATAGAGACATGCTTTCACATGTTTTCAACAGAAAAGTTTATGAGAGAATCAGGCTTAAAAATGTAATTCATTGTCTGTATTTCTACCCCAGAACTGCATGCTGCTTGGAGGACGGAAGAACACAGATGTCCCTCTGGAAGGATACTTGGTAACGCCAATACAAAGAATATGCAAATACCCTCTACTTTTGAAGGTACTTTATGTGTTTTCTTCATTGTTGCATTTCCCTTGTACCTGTGTATTTTTGCTGGTGATCTTTTTAAAATTTTCTTTTAAATAGTCTGACATTCTAAAGAAAAGACAAATACAGTTATTGGGAAAAAATAGCTATTTTGTCACTAATTTATATAGAGAGTAGGGAACAAATGTCCTGGGAATAGAGACTTTTTGTGCTCTTCTTAAAAAAAAATAAAAAATACTTGTTTGAGTTACCTTTAGTATAAACACATTAGTTTCAAGATAAATTCCTCTTAAGTACATTATGACCAGTTTATACAGCACTTTATTTTATCTTCAGTAAACCTGCTGTTGGTGTATTTTTTTCCTTTCCCCAACCATTGGTGACTTCTTGATGCTAATGAAGTTAAGGCTAAATTACATAATCTCAGAGCCTGGTTTTTCAGTCATTATTACAGGTAATGGAGTGGGTCACATGGGATAATAAATGATAGAACATGGAAAGACAGTTATAAGAAAACTCTGCCTCTGGAAGACAGGAAATGCTTGTGGTCATAGGTCCATGGCCTCGTTATAAATGATCAAAAGTTTTATTATGGAAAACACATTTTAATGTACTAAATATTGCTCATAATATAAGGATATATGAATAGATTAGAATAGCAGTTCTGGAAAGGAAATTTTTGGAAATGTGACATCTGAATAGTCGGTTGGGGGTAGTGGTTGAACATCTGAGTTCTGAGTTCAAGTCCTACGCCTTCTGCTTACTAGCTGCATGAGTGAGATTGTAATCTAACCTCTTCAAGGCATGGGTTCAATGTATGAAACAGAAATAATGATGATGATATGAAATTATAATAAATACCTAAAAGAATGTGTAAATGTATGTATATTTATGTATACATATATATCTCTGTATACATAGACATACATGCATATGTATTCATATAGGAGTACTTAATAATTGATTAAGCTATTTTATGCAAATCATTTAGCATAGTATGCACTCCGTAAATGTTAGCCATTATTACTCATGTGTATTTGACTCTGATTTGTTTTAATATACTAACTACTTCTTAGTATCTAAATTAAAAAACAAACTCAGAAACGCAATGGACATACTAACTGGTATTCTTAATTGATTTACTTTTTGAGAAATATATGTTGTGAATTTGAACTAAAAATATGTTTTTTCATTATAGTTTTTGTCAGTTGCATACATTAGATTTCAATGAAAATTTTCTTTGGAAAGGTTTTTTTTTTATTAAAAGAAAACAAGTTTAAATCGCTTGGTTATCTCATATAGAGAGAAGCTAGCACAGGGATGTCCCGGTCTGTAGAACTGTGGCACAGTCTTCAGGGAGTAGACAGGGTTGATGCAGATGTGACTCCCATCTTTCTGGTAGTCCCTTCTGACCTCTGATTTGGTGACAAATTTGCATGCATTCTCATCACTCCTCTTATTCCTATTACTGGTTTTGGAATCCCGAGAATTTAAGAATCAGAAGGGATGGTGATATTAAAAGAAATATATCAAGTCAAGTGGTTGTTCTAAATCAACTCATTTCTGATCAAGGATGACCTCAGGTGACCTCAGAGATAGGAACATGGACATATCCTTGCTTTAGGCAGAAAGGTCAATTCAGAGCATCTTCAAGTCATGGAGAAATGACATCTTTTTGCTTTTTGAAAAATTATCATCACAGATAAACAGGAAAAAACTACTTGTGCAGTAGATATATTGGTATTGATAGTTTTCTCCATTGTACCATCAACTGAAAAACTGAGCTGGTATTCTGTTTAATTTGGGTTGGTTTTTATTTATTCATTGGAAAACATTAGGGGATTAGGCAGTGTTCTAAAGAAAAGATACCTTGGTCTTACTTGTAGAACTTGAAATACTGGGTTGGCCAACCACCACAGGGTTCGTAGCCAGTAACTGACAGATTATTAACTGGTCATTTCTTTTGCTGTCTCACAGAATCTAAATTCATGTCTCAACTCCAGAGATACCCACTTGGCACAGGCCCATGGGAGCCCCCGATCATAGCCCATAGACTGCCTTCACCACTTCACATAATTTACAAGTAACACTAAGACTTGAGGGTTTCTGGAGAAGCCTGCATCTCTCTTTTATGGATTTGTGATCCAGCACAACTTTTTAAACTTGACCTTGGCAGTGATGTAATGTGGATTCTTTTGGTGTTGGTTCTGTCAAACAGAGTGTGAATATTTTGAATGCAGGGTCAAAGTTGATGGCAGAATTTTCAACAATAAAGAACATCAAGAGAGCATAACAACTGCATATTTTCCCACTGTGTTAAGAATTTAGAAAATTCTCTTCAAGATTTGCCTCCGGATTTCTCTAATTGTGTTAGTTACATGATGATGGCAACTGTCGTAAGGAAACAAATGACTAATTAAAAAGCAATGTGGTCACAGCTGTCTAGACAGTGGGTGAAGATGTTTAATTTTGTGCTTCTAAATAAGACCTTTTAAATAAGATTAAAGATTACTCTAGATCTGATATCCTGAATGGAAAAAAAAGTAAAAAGAAAAAAAAAAGGAAAAAGCTATTAAAGGGTGTATAGAATTCATTGTAGAGAATAAACTAAGAGGGTAACAACTAAGTTGTTGGCAAAAACAGCATAAATTGCTCCTTTAATGATGGAGTATTGCAGAATTTATAAATTACTTGTTTTACTAGAATATGAGACAGTTTAAAAATTTGCTTTATTTATGACACTTTTTTATAGTTTCTCAAAAAGTGTTAGAAAGTAAGGGACTTAAATTATTTTTTAAATTATAGGACAATTGTTTGATGGTTTACCATTCTTTTAAACACTAGAGAAATGAAATCAACATATAAAGAAGTCCTCATTTTGGAGTGCAAGTCAAACATGAAAATTATAAAAACTTATAAATCATATTAAAAAATTACATGCTGTAGGTGAGATATTTGATAGTTTGAAAGGGGATATCTAATTTAGTTTTTAAAAACAACATCATCTTAAGGGAAAAGTTAAAGTGACTATGGTGTATGCAGGTGGTGACACTTATTCATTCAGTGTTTTATTTTGGGTCTTGATCTTGGAGGAGTTTGTGATGTCACTTCTGAAAGTGGTTCTCACGATCCTTGCAGTTTTCATTTCCTGGTCAGTCTGAACCTGCTGTCCCAGAATGCCGAAGATCAAAGGGCGATTTGTTTTTTGTGTATAAACAGGAGTTGCTTAAGCGGACTCCAAGGAAACACAGTGACTATGCAGCAGTCATGGAATCTCTCCAAGCCATGAAAGCCGTCTGTTCCAACATCAACGAGGCCAAGAGACAGATGGAAAAGTTGGAAGTTTTAGAGGAGTGGCAGTCTCATATTGAAGGCTGGGAGGTACAGTGATCGGACTCAACAATTGATCTTAAAATAGTTTTGTTATGTCTTATGCTGTGCGTAGTGTTACTGGCATTGGATGGAACCACAAATGGTCCTTTTTCTAGACAATGGTACAGGGCTCTTAACTATTTCCAAAAAGTGCTGTCATTATTCTTTTTAAATATCTTTAAAGGGGTGGTTAATTGACTTAACTTCAGCCTGAAAGTTCTGCAATAGAGCCGATCGCAATGGTGTATATCATAAACTTCAATAGCTCAGTGTTTGTGCGGTGTGATGATCCTTTCTCTAGTCTTAACTTCGGTTAGTTGTCCATAACCGTAGCCTGAGTCCTGGAGAGAGAAAGATTCCAAACCTGTGTTCTGATATTATTATTTTCAGACTCTAAACTAGGTAGTTCATGGTGAATGTTATTCTAAGTCTATTTCATCTCTCTAAATTTGAATTTCTTCATTTCGAAGATGAAGGACCTGGCTGTGACATGATTTTTAAGGTCCACTCAAGATGAAAAATTTTATGGTTTCATGATTCACTACAGAAAGATTTTTTTGAAATGACAAAAAAGCCAGTGAAGAGTGATATTCAGAATCTGTAATATGATTGCAACTGTAGTAATTTTGCTTGTCAGTTAGTTCATGCAGTTGGAGCTCTGTATTACTTTGTGTGCTAAGTCGCTCAGTTGTGTCTTGACTCTGCGACCTCATAGACTATAGCCCGCCAGGCTCCTCTGTTCATGGGATTTTCCATGCAAGAATACTGGAGTGGATAACTGTTCCTTTCTCCAGGGGATCTTTGCTACCCAGGGATCAAATGTGGGTCTTCTGCATTGCAGGTGGATTCTTTACCATCTGAGCCACCAAGGAGAGCCCATATATTAGTTTAGCACTATAATAAACTATAATAAATTGGGTTTTCCTGGTGGTTCAGTGGTAAGAATCTGTCTGCCAATGCAAGAGACATAGGAGATGCAGGTTTGATTCCTGGTTTGGGAAAATCCCCTGGAGAAGGGAATGGCTACCCACTCCAGTATTCTTGCCTGGTGAATTCCATGGACAGAGGAGCCTGGTGGGCTACAGTCCCTGGGGTTGCAAAGAGTTGCACACAACTTAGCAACTCAACAACAACAACAGCAAAAGAATAAAGTAAAATTTTTTTTTTAAATTGACTTAATTTTGATGATCAAGAGCTTTCAACTAGGATAATTTCTTATTGTTATAAAGTAAGCAGTCGAGATAATATTTTTAAAGTGTAAGAAGATTTAAAATGTTTGCAACCCAATATTATCACAGAAATCCAAGGAGGTTATTTTTATCTTTAGGGCTTTATAATTAACTAATTTGTTTTTTATCTTCAATTTGTTGGTTTCCATTTAGACCTAACCTATATCCTTTCAGATCTGCAAAGAAACCTCAAACACTGACCCCAGGGAATGCTCCTATTTGTCTATTCTTCACCATGAATCTTTTAAAATGCTAACTGGGATCTGACTTCTCTTCCTCCTTGTCTATATTCTTTCATTTCAAGTATTCAGGGTCACTCTTATTTCAGCATGAATGCTACTTATTTCAATCAGTTTAAATGGTTGTGTATTTTACAGTTGATTCATGATGATAATTCCTTTCTTGAAAAACAATTGTCCTGCTGGGTTGAGAAAAATGGAGGAAAGTTTGCTTTGCCATTCTGTTGTCACTCAAACATTGGAAGAAACACCAGACTTGCTTTAAACTGTAGGATTTGTCAGTGACTTCTGCCAGGACTTTGACCAAAATAAAACCTTCATGAGACTCTTTTCGGTTCTCTTGGGAAGTGGAATCTGTCATAATTTTGTTTCTTCTTCCTGTGTATCCTAAACATTGAGGCTCCTTCATAAATGAGAGATTCCTTTACAAGTGTTGCTATTTCTTGCACTGTTCAGGGTCAGTTAACTACTCAAAGGAACAAGGCTGTGTGGTCCAAACTGTGTCCTTTGTAGCCTTAACAGTGGCTGTCTCAGCCTCACGCGCTTTGGTGGGCTTATAGAACTTGGAGTGAGAGAGACAAATGGAACCGGGGGACAGAGGAGGCTGGTGGGGACAAATCTGATATGACCACAGTTCCAGGTACAGGGCAGAGAAGATGAGTGTCAGGTTCCAAAAAGAGTGGCAAGATGAAGTCCCCTTGGGTCAGATTTGAAAATGGTTGCCTAAGACACAGCCATACAGTGATTTGAGAGTTTTAGGACTTTAGAAGGAATGCTGTCTGGAGCAGGGCCAGCCAATTGGTTGGAAACTTGTAACAAGTACCTGATTGCACGCCTCAGTTCACCACATTGAGAGCAGGGGGAAGCTTTACAGTGTTCAGGCCTTGTCGCTTCTGAGAAGTTAAAGAGAAACTGTGATCTGGTGAGACTCCAGAGGCGCAGAAAACAAAAGGACAGTCATGGAGGATGCATTCAGGCGCTGGTAAGGGAGTGGGAATGCTTAGGGCTTTCTTTGAGTTGCTAACAGGAATTTTTGCTCAGCTTACAGACAGCTCTATGTGTGTTCAGAGTGACTCTCATGGGGTTAAGACAAGACCAAGAACAGATGACTGATGGCATGACAGTGACAAAACAGAGTTCCTTCAAGAATTTTGGACATTAGGAGCCTTGAGCTAATGTTGGGTAACAGCTAGTGTTGGACTATAAAGAAAGCTGAGCACCGAAGAATTGATGCTTTTCAACTGCGGTGCTGGAGAAGACTCTTGAGGGTCCCTTGGACAGCAAGGACATCAAAGCAGTTGATCTTGAAGGAAGTCAACCCTGACTACTCATTGGAAGGACTGATGCTGAAGGTGAAGCACCAATACTTTGGCCACCTGATGTGAAGAGCTGACTCATTGGGAAAGAGCCCGATGCTGGGAGAGATTGAGGGCAGGAGGATAAGGGGATGACAGAGGATGAAATAGTTGGAGGGCATCACTGACTTAATGGCCAGGAGTTTGAGCAAACTCCGGGAGAGTGAAGGACAGGGAAGCCTGGCATACTGCAGTCCATGGGGTCGCAAAGAGTTGGGTAAGACTGAACGATTGAACGGCTGAACGGCAACAGCAGCAGCTCTCTGACTCCTTCCAGGAGCTCCTGCAGACCATGCAGACTCTTAGCGATGACACTCTTGCTCCAGTAACTAAAATTCTCTTCAATGGATTCTAAAGCTGGTATACCATAGTGTTCATTATTTCTACTTTTGGTGGATTATGTTATATTTCAAGTAGATCCCTTAAATATTCAGGGTCTTATTTCCCCATTCATCAAATGAAGGGCACTAAAATCTCAGGTGTAACTTGTCTCTCCAGTGTTTTGTACCATTAAGTTGTCATTACATTCTTTTATGTTGAATTTAAGTAAACAAACAATGGAGATTTACTGTTCTCAAGTCATATGACATAATAAAAAAGCCTGGCTTTTGGGCAGATTTGGTTTCCACTCTGGATTCTAACCTTTAGTTTGTGGATAAAGCACCAGATCTCTTCAACATACAGTTTGGGTTATTAAAGGGATCAGTGAAATAAGTGAAAAGTACTTTGAACACTATAAAATGCTCTACAGATGAGAGAGCTAGTATTTTAAAGCTTTGGTTCAGTCGTTAGATTTTACCCTTAAGAAATCCCCTTCATTTGTCTAATCTATGCACCTAACTACTGAAAGGGTTATCTTACTTAAGCTATATGGTCCCAAGCAACAGAAATGAAAGGAAACTTAATTTAAAAGATATTGAACAGTTTGTGAAATCAATAGAAGAGCTTCCCTTCCAGACTCGAAAGGTTGTCTAGTCAGTAGAACCTCTTTGGCAGTCTCATCAGTGCCCTAGCTAGAATGGATTGTTCGTTGTTCAGTCGCTCAGTCGTGTCTGACTCTTTGTGACCCCATGGACTGCAGGACACCAGACTTCTCTGTCCTTAACCACCTCCCAGAGTTTGCTCAAACTCATGTCCGTTGAAGTGGTGATGCCATCCAACCACTTCATCCTGTGTCGCCTCCTTCTTTTGCCCTCAGTCTTTCCCAGTATCAGGGATAAGTTCTAATAATTTTTCCATTCTTACATTGCTCCATTCAAGATTCAAGATCAAAATCCAAGATTCCAATAATCTTACTTGGGTAAATTTTCTCAAGGGAGGGCAGGGGCCCTTAGCTTTCCCTCAGCCAACTTCCTCTTGGGGAAAAGTTGATACTCCATTGTAGGCAGTCTTGGTCTGTTTTAACAGTTTACTGAAGTACTATAACCCCCATTATGCAGATTTTTAAAAATGAGGACTATATAGCTTAAATGTTAGTCACTGAGTCGTGTCTGACTTTTTTTACCCCATGGACTGTAGCCCACCAGGCTCCTCTGTCCATGGGATTCTCCAGGCAAGAATACTGGAGTGGGTTGCCATGCCCTCCTCCAGGGGGATATTCCCTATCCAGGGATCAAACCCACATCTCTTATGTCTCCTGTATTGGCCGGCAGGTTCTTTACCACTAGCGCCACACGGGAAGCCCAAAATCACATTAGTGGTGGTTTAGTCGCTGTCATGTCCAACTCTTGCGGCCCCATAGACGGTGGTCTGCCAGGCTTCTCTGTCCATGGGATTGTCCAGGCAAAATACTGGAGTGGGTTGCTAGTTCCTTCTCCAGGGGATCTTCCCAACCCAGGGATCAAACTGGGGTCTCCTGCATTACGGATAGCTTCTTTACCGAGTGAGCTATGGGGGAAGCCCCAAAATAACATTATGCATATTTAAATAAATATTCAGTGATGATGGACTGTAACATAGGTGTAACTGTGACCATGGAACATATGATAAACTCCTTTTCTGTCCTGGGCTCTGGGAAGCAGTTGGGACTATTTCTCACCTAGAGGTCTCATAGAGCAGGCCCCATGCACACCTTCATCCCCATGTCAGCAGAGTTGCTGTTCTATGTACTGGAGTGCCTGAGCTCAGGCTTCCAAAGCAGTGTTACTTCAAGTGTTGACGGAACACCACAATGCATCAGAATCTAC